CTACTAAAAATCTAATACCGGCATTCAATTCTACGCCAAAGAATTAGTCTTGAGCAGTTTTTACTTTAACTCTAACTTATTTAACAGCTGAGATACAAACATGTAAAAAAGTGTCACAATAACGAGAAACGCCTTGTAACTCAGAAACAAATGAAGATAGCAAATTTTCGATATGACAGTCGAGTTTGCCATGAAAATCGAGCTCGAGAACGTGGTGTCAGATTTATCATATCTTTAGTAGTTTCTGAAATACTCTGAATTTCCATCGAAAATGGACCAGCCTGTACAAACATAAACGGACTTGGAGATTTAGCATTTACCTAAACGATACACAGAAATGGCAAAACTATTTTTTGATGCTACTCGTAGATTGCGAAATGCTATTTTTGTATTCGAGAATACAAAAGAATTTCGCAATCGAGTATGAAACAACATTTTTTCGAAAACTGTAGCCTACAATTCAAAAATTACTAAAATTGTGAATAGAAAATTTGGACATTTACGATTAATCTACTTGACATTTACGTCCCCCATAATATACTGCATATTTTTTAATACAAGATATTCTTTGGGGCGTCAATATCCGCTCCAAAATCTGGTGCTTCTTCAATAATTACCCAGTACACCTTACACTGTAAAAAAAATCCACTTAATTTCACTCACATCCTGGATGTAAAAGACTACGTTTTGTAGGTAGACAAAAAAAGGTGTTTTTTTTTCAAAACTGCTCATAAACTCAGAAAATTTTTTTCTAGCTTAATCAATGCCCGTGTCATTTAACCTGATTCCTCAGTTTCAATTTGTTTTTTTATTTTCTGTACACTGCAAAAAAATCGGTATGGGTGAAGGCAATAAAGGTTCGGAGTGAATCCACTGAGTGAAATAATTATTGAATTTCACTCAATATTGGGCATTTTGATCATTTTACTCATTTGTATATACCTAATCATACTAAAACTGAATACGTCCACTCAAATATAGGTACTCCTTAAATAATTCTTCACGTAAACTCGTATTTGCTGCACTTGTACCTAAATCAGAGTAAAACTGAGTGAGTTTAAATGTATTTTTTCGAGTAGTGTGAATGACGCCGTGAAGATGGCACCACTTACATATTGCTTCTGTAGTCTCGATCATAGTTGATAGGGGCCCGTTAATCATTTATGAGTGATTTATTTTTGCACTCAATATTTAGTTAATTAAAAACCAAGTCTGAGTACAAAATGACTCAATAATAGTTAAATTTAAATCATATTAGAGAAAATTGGTTCTAAATTGGTTTTTTATACTCAAAATAGAGTCAAAAGTCGCTCAATTGATAGCCAGTAACTTGGATTTGAGTAAAACTCATTCATTTCTGATGCAATAGTTTCACTCAGTTGTACTCATACCAATAGAGTGAAAATTTCACTCAATCACATTATTGAGTTAGTGAGTGAAATTTGAGTGAATTTTTTTTACAGTACCTATATGATATCGGCTATTGAGTGAAAAGTCACCTTTTCTTTTTTCAACGATATCTCATGAACTAACGATCGTACAGCGAACGGAAGTTGGATTTTGGAAACTGAATCAACCCTCAAGAGCCTTTTGGTATGTTTGAGAAAAAAAAATATTTAAAAAAGTGCAAATAAATGACTTTTTCTACTGTTTTGGAAAATCAACGAGTACTTTGTAAATATTTCGAAAAGTATCAATGCTTGTAGGATTTTTTTTAGCTCAATACATGCCCATGAAGCCTGTAAATTTTAAAATCGATCGGTAGAACCGTTTTCCTTTCCTGAAGTTATATAAAAAAATAAAGGAGCAGGTTTATTGCTCCTTAAACATTAATTAATTTTTTCCACAATTTTGCGTTAAATACTCGTCGAAAAAAAAATTATTCAAAATTTTAAACAAAAATCATTTTTTGAAATTTCTCAAAATATTTTTGTGTTACCTAACTATTTTACAATTTTTCATTTAATATTTCTATTGTCAAAAAAATATTTATTTGAAATTAAAACAAATTTTTGAGATTTAAAAAAATATCTATATTTTTTCACATTTGATAAGTAGATATTTAATGTGAAATTGTGATAAAATAACAAAAAAATTTTGAAAAATTCATTTTTTGTAAAATGCAAAAGCCTTGCATGATTTCCTTTAATTGCACCAAGAGTGGTACTCGAAAAAAATTTTCATTTCAAGATTTCAAAACTAGAATCTTCAAGTTTCAAAATGCATTTTTGTCTTTCTCGATACGACCATTATTCGTGAAGTTACAGCCTTTTAAAAATCACTAAAAATTTTGGAAATTTTTTTGCTAATATCCAGTTCATTAAATTTCAGGTACTACTACGACAAAAACATAATGTCCAAGGTGCACGGCAAGAGGTACGCATACAAGTTCGACTTCCACGGGCTGATGGCCGCGTGTCAGGCCCAAGCCCAGGGTCAGGGTGACGTTATGCCCCCTTACCACAAGTACCAACCGCACCAGAGCGAGCTAGGGGCAGCGTTATATCCCACAACTCACACGGCTAACCCTAGGATACCCAGCATCCTACCAGCCACCACGCAACATTCGCAACCTGGGTTGTTTGCACCGCCAAGTTACTGGCCGTACTCCCCGGGAAGCTTCGATCCTCGGGGGCCCCCTTTCAACTGATTTGTATGTAAAAATGTACATGGTTTGGTTTGCGGCAGATGTAATAGAGGTTTTACACATTTTAAAGTGTAGCGAAACTGAATTCAGGTCCTGTATACCAGAGAATATAAACTAAGCTAGTACGAATATGTGTCCCTAAGTATCAATCTCCAAATACGAAAGTAGGAATTAGGCCTAGGGCCCTTGTGGGATCGGTCGACTTCAACGCGCTTAAAAGTTGAAAGACGGAAAGTTCTTGGAGTTTATTTTACTGCAGGTAGTATTTTAATAAGTATTGTTACTTTTTGGAAGCATAAAGTAGATTTTATTCTAAAACAAAAAAAAAACAAAAGTAATTGATTGATCCTGGATTGTTCCGAAGTTATAGGTCTAAGAAAATATGAATATAAATAAATACAGGGTGTCCGCAAATTCCACCGACAACGTTTGACTTCATATTCATATCGATAAATATAAGTACCTACGATCTACGAAAAAAAAGTTAAATAAAAATTTTTTTTGCACGATCAAGCTTTTTTAGTTCACTTACCATGTTTGTTTCTACGACAGTAGGATGCGTTCTAGAACGGTACCTAAGTGAATAACTGTCAAAATAGACATTTTCAACATCGCATTGATTTGGAATGAGTTTTCTAGAATTCAGTTTTAAATGTGGGTAATTGATATAAAAGAAAGATGTATTTTAAATCTATTTATTAATGTTGAAATTAAATGTACAGTTTGTACAATTGCTTACAGAAATTGGAGCAGTACATGTTTTTTCAATTTCGGTTTCAGTTATATTTTTATTTAAAGTAAAATTAGCTATCGAGGCCAGTGAAGTCGAAGCTATAGTAGCAGGTAATGGTTCAGCACAGGATTCAGAAGTATTGCAGGATGATGTGTTGTCATTATCGTGAAGAATTTTATCTGCATACTGTAGTTTATTTTGAAGGGAATCTTCGACGTAGCTTTCGGCAACGGTTGAGGATTTCCATCCCCCATGCCTTTTTAACCCGAGCACATCCACACCTCTATTTGCTAGGAGGGTGGCTGAAGTACGGCGAAACGAATGA